AGCCACCCAGGCACCCCATAAAATTTTATTTATTTTAAGTAATCTCTACACCCAACGTTGGGCTCAACTCACGACCCTGAGATCAACGGTGGGATGCTCTTCCCACTGAGCCGGCCAGGCGCCGCTAACTTAGCATTTTGTAAGATTTGAAATTACATATGTGGCTTGCAACTGTGGTTCCCACTGCGTTCCTCTCGGACCTCGCTGGACCAGGCCATGTCTGTGATTGCACAGGAAGCACGCGTAGAAACTTAAAGCAGTAGACCTTTCCTGGCCTCCATCTCAGAGAGGCTAACTCAGGGTGTCTGGGATGCCTGCAGAGGGCCCTGGTCATTCTGAGGGACAGCCATAGTGAGCACTGTCCCGAGGTCTCAAGGCGGGGCAGAGCTGGGAAGTCTCCACTCTTCCCTGCATCCTGCCCACTCCTCCCGGGCGGTCAGGGTTCTGAGCATGGAGGCAGAGTTCAAGGGGACATTGTCACCTGGCACCCCAGCCCAATCTCTGCTCTGCCCACACCCAACCTCTTCCTGACCTTGGCAACTTGCCCCAGTGCCTGTGCAGAACCGGCCTCTCGGCTATCCCTCACACACTGCACCTGCCCAGGGCCCATGCAGATGGCCACGTTTGTGCTGGCAAGCAGGTCACAAGGAATGGCCTACTCTGGCCCAGAGCTGTGCCTCGGGGACCGGCCACCAGGACTGAACCCTGCCTCTGCCGCTTAGCACACCTAAGCCTCGGTCTCCCAATCTGGAGGTAAGGAGCCCCTACCACGATTTTCGCTGGGCTGGTTAGCGAGATAATGGAGAAAAGACACACGGGAAATGCTCCGTGAATAGTGACTATTAGCCATATTTCTTTCTCGTGTGCTAAGTGGAATCCAAAAGCTGCAGCTGTCTGGAATGCGGGGTGGTTAAAACATCACTGAAGAAACAGTATGTTTTAGTCAGTCTGTTCCGTGATCAAAAGCAAAGAAATAAACACTGAGCCTTACGCGACACACAAATGAGTATCCACGGGACTGAGAAAGTCCTGGATGACGGCCAGGCCTCCCCGACGCTTCCTAAACACGCCCTCCCCTCCCCAAAGGAAGGTTTTAGCTTGCATGCCCCCTCCACACTCCGAGCCCCATTTGAGAATGGAGACAGGACTGAAGGTCGGGGTGGGGGAGGGGGCTGCAGTCAGTGCCAACAGTGTGACATCTGAGTCCTTGTCTGGGCAGGGGTTGCCTGCAGTGAAAATGGTCGGGATCTGGAATCCCAAGCCTGGACCTCCCTCCCTGGCTTCCCTTGTCCTGGCCACTCTCCCGTGCTGCTCCCAGCACACGGTCCCAGCCTACCCAGCCAGAGGTCTCCTCTCTACCCCCACACTCGCCTCCTTACCCCATCTTATTCCCTTTGTAGCAACGACACCGCTCCATGTCCTGTACTCCTGAATCCGTGCACCCCGAGAAAGCGGAACTCCATGCGGTCCATACCATCTCCAGCCCCAAATTTAATGCCTGTCGCATGGTGGGTCATAGACAAACACGGAAATGAACAGATGTCTAAAATGCATGAGCAGAACAAGTGTGGACAGAAAGTTTCATCAAATGAAAGCATCCCACGCCCTTATTTTGCAAAGACCTGAGCACCCAAGGCGCCAGGGGCTTGCTAGAGGCTCAGCTTGAGAGCCGGCAAAGCCACCAAGCGCCACGTTTTTTGCCAAACACATGTGGCTAAGTGCACAAACAGACCCTTATCACCAAGGCGGCGTGGTTTCTGCAGAAGTCGCTATCACCATCTTTGACTCCCCTGAATCACTACCAGCTTTGGGGGGACGGGACCATCCAATGAGCTGATATCACTCATCAAAAGCTGGGGTGGTCCCAGGGCAGCTCCAGGGCTTGAAGGTGCCCTATTACCCAGGTAAACTCACATCCTCCTTTGTTGTTCCCCAAGAGGGTCTGCCTGAGCCAAAACCCCAGCCACCCCTCCCCAGACCCCTGAGCACCTCTGGCATCCTGGAGGCAGAGGAAAGGGTCCTGGACACAAACCCAAGGTCCAACCCAGCCTCCGCAGTGAGGGTCCAGGCATCCCTGGACAAGGTCCTAGATCTCTCAAGGCCTCAGATTCTTCCTCTGTGAAATGCAGGTCACAAGGGCAAGTTCTGGAATGTGTATGAGCCTTGAAAGCCATCCTGGGATTGGAAGCCTGAAGCTTTAGCTCCGACCAGGCTGACACCGGGCCCTTGGCAAAAGGAAGCTGCAGGGGTTCCTTCCTGGTCCAGCTCTGCCCCAGAGCACGGTAGCTCCTCTCCACGCAAGGTTTCCCCATCCCAGCAAAGGGAGGGGTCCACAACCGCAGCTCCCACCTGCTACAGTAACCATGAACATGCTCTCCTCTCCTGGCTGCTGAGCCCACAGCACACACGACACAGGATGCACACAGCTGCCCAGGGAGAGAGGCAGAGACACTGCCACCCTGACTGGTCCGCACTAAACCCGGGCCCCTTGTACTGGCCAGACCCTAGGTGCACTGCTGGGGTGTGAGAAGCATAGGGTGGGAGAGAGGGAGCAGGCTTCACTGGACAAGCCACTTGAGCTCTCTCTCTGGGTACATCACGTCCTTGAGAAGGTGCCCGGGCCCCTGATCAGTCCCACCTGATGGCCATCCCAAGGGGATCCAGATGGGGCCCCCTCCGCTGGCCAGAACCCCCTTTCCCTAGCAGCTCCAAAAGCAGTAGCCCTCCTCACTTCTTTCCAGAGTGATGTTCCCTCTGCTGGTTGTCCCCTCTCAGGCAGGTGCTCCTCAAGTCCCCACTCGGGGAAAGGGCAGGGCCATGTTCAGTCCTGGGACCTCGAGGGAGGTGAACACTATGCCTGCCAGCTCTGGCCCAAGAAGGGTGGCTCTCAGCACGGCTGTTCCAGATGGAGCAGCAGGGAGACCTCTCTCCCCTGGTGATGTGCACTGCCCTGCAATGGCGGTTCTGCAACGGGGAGGCTTTGGGGTGTCCACAGGGGAGGACCCACTCCTGAATTCCCAGCAGGAGCCTGACAGAGTGAGAGGAAGAGCTGAGAGTGGGGCTCGGGGTGCGCGCATATGCTCAGGGGCGGCAATAGGGCCCCTGGGTGGGGCCCTGGACAAGAATGCAACCCGGAAGAAGAAAAATCAAGACTGCACTTCTGGCCGCAGCCTGTCCCCTGCGAAGGGCGAAGCCAGTAAGACAGGCCCTTTTAAGATTGTTGCACATCGGTGAGACCTTTGAACCGACTCTCCTCCAAGGACATCGTCAGCGATGACGTAAGGGGACGCCTGGCTAGCATTTGAAGTGCTGCTGGGGAAGGTGCTGACCCTTGGGGGGGGTCCCTCGGGGCAGAGCCTAGAGCACAGCCTGTGGGAGCACTGGCTGGAGGGCTGGCTGGCATGATCAGAGGGGACCAACACCTACTTCTGCCCCAGGGCTCTCCCACAGGGTAAATGTGCAGCCAATCTGAATGCCCACAGCCTCACCCACAACCCAGAGCTGGGAGGCCCCAGAAAGACACTCTGAACCCCTCAAGCCCACCCTACTCCTGCCCGCTCGAACCCTCCTGTGTCAAAAACCTACAAGCACATCTCTACAGAAACACACAGCTCTCTGCTCAGAGGCACACCCAGACCCGACATGGAAACACAGAGGAACGTAGTAACCCTACACACTCGTACACAGGAACACACCCCTCGTTCCTTCTCCTCCCCTGCCCATTCCCCCCAACATACAGCTTCTGAGGTCGGCTGGGCCCCCTCGGCCAGGGTGCTCTCCTCCCCCATCCTGCGGCTGAGGGCACTGCCCACCCGGCTTCAACTTCACCTTCAGCTGTGGCCGGTTTGTTTGTCAGGCTACAGGTCCCTGGGGCTCCCAGCCAGGGAGCGGGAGCTTCCAGAGGAGCAGGGAGTGGCTACGCTGGCCCTCTGGGGCCTTCTTTTCACCTCTGAAAGTTGGGTAAAGAGAAACCCTGGACTCCTGGCTCTTAGCCAGGAGAAGCCCAGCTCCCAGCAAGGGAGCCCCACTCCTGTCATGCTCAGAGGTACTGGGGAGGTGGGCACTGGGGCAGAGGGGCTGCAGGGAAGCAGACGGGAGGAAGATTCACAGCCTCGTAAGGATGTCCCCAGAAGGGCTGGGGAGTGTCTCAGGGCAGCCTGGGACCTCAGTCACGCATGGGCCAGAGGCAGCTGGCCCGGGGAAGGGTACCCCCGCCTGGCGCCCTCACTCACCATCCTCCTGGCCTGGCCTCTTTGCACGGACACCTAACCCTGATCCCTCAGAGAGGGACTGTCCTCCTGGCCAACCCCCCTCCCCCTCAAATTGAGGAAACTCCTAGGCCCTCCCCTAGCCACCCCCCTGACCCACTCAGGCCTTCATGTCTCCAGCCCTGAGGCATTAGCAATTTCAGGATCATCCCAGACCTGGGGAAGGTGGTGGGAGGGCAAGGCACAAGCTGCTCAGGGCCTGGGGACTGAGGATTCTAGGGCTCGTTCAACAGGTCTGGGCTTCGCCCACACCTCCTCTCCACGGAGCTATGGCTCAGGTCCTATGGGATACCTCCTGGGCAGACACCCTAAATCTAACTGAGGGCGGTGCCAGGGGTCAAACCAAGTGCCCGAGCACCCCAAATCTGGGGCCTTGCCAGAGCTCCTCCCCTGGTCCTTTGAGGAGTCCTCCCTGTTTTCAGCTTCCAAGAATACAGCCCTGTTACTCCACCACTACCTTGGGACAAGCACTGCCCTCAGGGCTAAACGGGATCCAGAGGCTTTTTTCAAAGAAGCCTGGTGCCAGATAAGGACTCGGGGAAACTGAGGCACAGGGAAGACGCAGACCCTGAGAAAACCCAGGAGACCACGCAGCCACGGGGACCCTGGTCCCACCTGGAGGCCCACAGGTCCTCCTGCCCTCTTCCAAGTGTCTGTTTTCTCCTGCCCGGGAGCTGGCAGAGCAGGGACCTGGGACAAGGTGCCGCCCATCCCCAAGCCTGGCTGGCTCACCTGGCCTTCCCGGCCTGTCAGTCCAGCTGTTCCGGAAAGAGAACATTTTCTTCTCACTGTATTTGGACAGCTGCAGGGATAGTGATGGTGAGAAGAGAATGTTTGATTACTGACAGAGGGGGCAGTGCGGGGACAGGGCCACAGGGCCTCCAATGGGCTGGGCAGAGGGCTGGAGCTGTGGGGAGATCCTGGGCGAGAGGCTAGGGACGGGGAGCTAGGCGGGGGCCTGGAGCAGCCTGACAGGACACAGGGAATGCCTGCCATTAACAAAGAGGGTCGCCAGCGGGGCTTCTGGAGCCGGGCCAGGGGCCTGGAGTAGTGAATGGCAGCCCAAAAGCAGAGAAGAAAATGACTCCCTTCTTTATGAAAGTGCTCAGCTACGGGGCGGGGGCGGGGCAGGGTGGGGGGTTGCCCAGCCCCAAACCCTTCCTTCCAGACAGATCCCTAACCCTTCCTCAGCAGGTCCGGGTCCAGGTCCGGGGCTGGTGGGTGGGGCTCAAGGAGAAGATGAGGCATCAACTGGGCAAAAGTCAGAAGCCCTAGAGATCCAGCTCGTTCCCACTTTCAAAGACGGCAAGTAGAATTGTAGGGTCAAGACACACTGTTTCCTCCTCTCTCCTTCCCAATGGTCTCTCTCTCTCTCTCACTCCCCTTTGCTCTCCTCCCCGTGTCCCTGTCCCCTTTCAGCCATCCTGTCCCGGTGTCTCCCTGTCCCCATCTCCACCTCCTCCTGCCTGCCTCCCCCCAACTCCCCACCCTCGGGTTATGTAAGGGGCCTGAGAACACACAGAGGGAGCTTTGTTGTCAAACCAAATCCATACGGAGCCGGAATCGGCCAACGCAGCTGTTCCCCATTCCCTCCGCCTTGGCAGAGTTGAGACGCTGGGCAGGAAGCCCCCACACGCCTCCATTTTGGGAGGCGGGGGGCAAACGCTGGCCCAAGGGCCCCCAGGCAGCTAAATGGGTGGCCAGAGATCAGTCATCCTTGCGTGGGACTGCAGCAGGGGACCAGCTGGCCCACAAGACAGTACAGAGCCCCGTGCAAAGCCAGGTCACAAAGACCACAGAGAGGAGAACTCTGGGCTAGAAGCAGGCCTGGAAAGGGGGGTGGGGGAAGAGGACACAGACTCCCCCAGGCCCACCTGTATTCTTGTCCACACACAGATGCACGCCCATGCTCTCTTTCTCCTGCACAACCCACGTACACACTCATCCACACACTTACAGCGTGCACACACACACACACCCTCCACGTGGGCTCACCTGAAAGGTGTCTGAGCAGAAATCTCCCTGCTCTGACCAGCCTCCTCCACCCCAGCAGGTCCCTCTGGGGAAAGAGCTGGAGCTCTGGAGAGAGGAGGGGGGAGGGCGGAGGTCAGAAGCCAGAGAAGTTCCACCAGCCCACTCTTCTTGGGAGACCCTCAGGCTCTTGGACCAGGTCCCACCTTCCTGCCCAGGAGGACGTCCAGGGAGGTGGGTGAGGGCCCAGGGAGCAGAGTTTAAGTTTACTTTGAGTTTCCTCTGGGCCGGCACTGTCCCTTCACCAAGCCCAACTGCTGGAAGAACCATCTCATTCGAAAATTCTGGAGCTGCCAACAACAGCAGGTGCTCCTGAACCCCCAGAGCCCAGAAGGGAACCTCCCCGACTGCTGGAAATCCAGCTGCCATGTCAGGACCACTTGGATGTTGAGGCAAGGAGCGTGGGGGACTCCGGAGGACAGAAGGGGAAAGAAGAGGAGTCAGATGGGAAGGGAGGAAGAGGGAAGAACGGAAGGCAGAAAATGATGAGAAAAAGAAAAAAAAAGAGGAAAAAAAGGACCAAGGAGCAGACCAGCGGAGAAGGGGAACAGTGATGTGGGGAGAAGGGCCCACACAGCCCGGGAGGAGGGGCCCCCCCTCCAAGAGCACACTCCCCCCTGCCAGGCCGGGGCTAGCCCCTCCGAGGACAGAGCAGGTCCTAGAGAAGCAGGATGGCAGTGGACATTTCTAGAACGTGTCCTAGCCCACCCAGTCCCCCATTGGCCATGCCCCTGGGGGTAGTAGAGTCCATCCTGGTCTTTGGGGCCTGGATGACGTCAGGACCTCAGAGAAAGGGATGAGATGGGGGCAGGGGGTGGACGGAAGGGCAGAGGGACCCAGGCTCATTCCTGACACCAGCTCCTGCCTGTGGGGAGGGGATGCTCAGGGAGCTTGAACAGCAAGTTACTTTTTTGAGTCTCAGCTCCCTCATTTGCAAAAAGAAACAGTTACAGAGCTGCTACTATGCGGCAGAGAGGCTCCAGATGCTGGGACACCTCAGGGAGGAAGGCAGTTGCGGGTCCTGCCCCGTGGTGACCTCCAAGGCCTCTCCCAACCTGCAAATGTTTACCTCCCTGGGCCTCCCAAACCTGGGAGGGGGGCAGATGCCACGAGACCAACTCACAGACCAGCTGATGGAGCACTAATCACCACCTGACACCGGCCGGAGGTTACAGACCTGGGCGCAGACGAGAGAAGACAAAGGGTGCCATCAGCAGTGAGTGGCTCCCGCCCGGCCGCCTGCCTCTGGCCGCTGGGACCCAACATTGGACACTCTTCAGCATCTGGGCCCTTCCTTGAATCCCAGAAGACACGGGCGGCCTGGTGTTTACAGAGTACAGGATTCCACGCCCTGGGGCATCACTGGAAACACTCTCTCGATCCGAAGTGCGGGCTCCTCAGGGGAGGAACCCGAGTGCCTGAGGCCTGCGAGCTGGGAAAGGGGACAAGCCTGGCACTTCCACCACACCGCCCAGAGCACCCCTCAACCCTAACCCCGTCCCCCATATGGGGCAAGACTGGGACTGAAGGGCAGTGGGTCTCCCCTACCCTGTCCCCATACGTGGCACGAGTGGGACCCAAGGGCACTGGGGCGCCCAGGAGGAGCTGGGCAGTCCAGCAGGCTTCCCAGAGCAGAGCCTCGGGTTGGATGCTGAAGGACACTCACCATTTAGGAAGGAGGTTACCCAGAGTAGCCAAGCCATGGGCAGCACAGGGGAGGGAGACAGATGGAGCAAAGAGGAGATGAGAACACACGCGGCATGCTACTGGGAAAATAAGCCTTAACGGAGTTGAATGGGGGGAGGGTCCCAAATTAAAACTCTTTAAAGTCCAGAAAACCCTCTGTCCTACTTTCACATGAGATTTTATGTGGAAAGCCTTCGAGAAGGCATCGAAGAGCAGCTGTTAGGGTTGAAGCAATAATAGGGGTGAACCCCACCTCCTAAGTGGACACTGGAGTGGGGCTCCAGCCCTAGGGTCACCTCTCTTGGCCCCGAACGGGAGGAGAGGACCAATGAGAGGACAAGAGGGGAGATTAGGACCCGTGTGTGCAAGTACCTCAAGTTTGGGCTGAGGAGGGGAGACAGGAACACGAACAGGACCAGCTGCACCAGGGAGGGGGGCTGGAATGAGGGGCAGGCCCTCCTCAGGGGGCAGCCTCCTATCCATCCCTACCTGTGTCTCCTGCCTGCCTCTCCAGTGCCTAGAGAGGCCCCGGGTTGGGGGGTGGGGTGGGGGGAAGCATGGCAGCGAGCGGGGCCAGGCCAGGCCCTTCTCGGACAGACAGCTCACCTGTCAAAAGGGCAGCTTTCTTCCTTTGCCTCAGGAAAAGCAGGAAGGAAAGCAGGAACACAGTGAAGACAGAGAAAACCCAAGGTACCTCTTCCATACATTTATCAAACAAATATTTACCAAGCACTTACTGTTTGCTATACATCATTCCAACCATGAATATAGCAGTGAGCAAGACAGACAGGTTCCTGGAGCTTACACCAAAATCCTAAAATCTCAGGGGAGAAAATACCTTAAAAGTTTTAAAGCCCGCTGCACACCACCAACATACCCCTCCTAGGCCTGCATCTCCCTGGGACTGTCCCTGTCAAGGTCACGGGTCTATGCTTAAACATCTTTGATGATGGGCAACATGCCCCCTCCACAGGAAGAAGTGCGCTCCCGAAATCTCCAGCGGGCCCCATCAAGGGCCCTGCTGGCCTCCCTCCCCAGCCGGCCTCCACAGAGCCTGAGGCAAGGGAGTCAATAGAGCATCAGAGGCCCTGGGAGAAGGTGCAGGTTTTATTTTATAATGACACAAAATAGAAGGATGCATCTCTAGTTCTGCTCGACCTGGATGAGGTGCAGGTTTTATTTTATAATGACACAAATACAAGGATGCATCTCTAGTTCTGCTCGTCCTGCCCTGCCAATGACCTGGGACCAACAGAAACAAGCGGACCCCATGCTCACCTGTCCAGAGCTCCGGGGTCCCTCAGCCTTTGCTGCTGTGACTGCCCTGCTCGCTTCCCTTCCAGAAGCCTCTGGCAGTGGTCCCCAGGTCCCCAGGGCGTGCCTTCGCTGGCTCCCACTTCCCTCCAGCTGTCCCTTCCAACCAGTCCTCCCTCCCCGAGACCTGAGCCACCTGCAGGAGCAGGGGCAGGAGGGCCGTGGGAGGGGCGCCTGTGGGCGGGCCCAAAGGGAAGCTCACCCCCACCCCCGCCCCTGGGACTGAGAGCGGCTCTCTTGAAAAAGCTTCTCCGGACAGGAGCCAGGCAAGGACGGGTGTCGAGGAGGATCCGGAACAAAGGTGCTCCTGCCTGGCAGGGATCTGGGAATGGCAGACCCTGGACCCTGGGGGCAGCCCCACTGGCCCAGGTCCCCGAGCTCGGACCTGTAGGGCCCCGCCCCTTTCCCACGTGTCGCCACGGTTGGCGGCTGAGGCCTTGCAGCCCTGTGGGCGGCAGCCGGGGAGCCGCATTTCCAAAGGAATAGGAGCCGGGCGGGCGGGCCAGATGGAAGCAATTACCGGGGGGAAAAGAGGGAGAGGTGGGGGCCGGTAGGGCGGCCGTGGAGATGGCCCCGGAGGGCAGAGAGGGAGAGAGAAGAGCCCTGCCCACCTGACCACAGAGGGCTGACAAGCAGGGAGCCTGCACTCTGGGCAGGGGTGCCACGGCGGGCAGGGCGAGGTGTGGGGTTTGGGTAGGCACAAAGAATTCTGGGCTGGGAGTCTGGAGGCGGAGGTTGTGGTCGGCCTTGTCACTAACGCACTGTGGCCTCAAGCAAAGCCCTTCACAGCTCTGAACCTCTTCAGGCACCAAAGGACGGGGAAACGAGTTTGGGGGAGCAGTGGAGAGCTCAAATGCGAAAAGCAGGTTTCCAAAACAGCCCCAGACACAAGTCCCCCGCTCAGCTGCTCAGGAGCTGTGACCTTGGCCAAAGTTTCAACTGCCAGAGCCTCATTTCTTCACAGATAAATGGGCTGAATGAAAGGTGTGTATGAGGCTTACAGGAAGGGATAGAAATAAGCCTCCGGCACATCCTTTTCTTTTGTTTGTTTGTTAAGCGTATGGGCCAGGCTTTTAAGAAGTGCTTGATTGGGTGCCTGGGTGGCTTAGTGGGTTAAGCCTCTGCCTTCAGCTCAGGTCCTGATCTCAGGGTCCTCGGGGGTCCGGAGGGCTCCGGCTCTTTGCTCACCAAGGAACCGGCCTATGGAACCCCTGCCTACGTGTGATGACTGTCAAATAAATAAATAAAATATTTTTTCAAAAAAGAGAGAAGCGCTTGGTTGATACATGGTAAGTACTTGTGTTATTTGCTAAGCCTTTTTTATTGTAAGGACAGGTGTTTACAAATGCTGCTAGGGAAGAGGACACGGGGCAGGCGGTGGACACAAGGAACACGGCTATAGCCCCTGGAACCCACGCCCTCCTGCAGGAGGATTTGGATCAAAGGCAGAAGCAACACCGTGTGGGCCCAGCCCTCTGCAAATGGGACCCCATCCTCTCCAGCCACCCCCAGCCTCCCCATCCCACCCCAGGAAACCAACCAGATCCTGGAGCTCATGACCCACTCGGCTGGGCTGAAGAGGGAAAGTCCACGCAGGAAGGAGGAACCATCCCGCCACACAAGGACAGCTGCCTGTGGGCTTCTGCTGCCCGGCCTCATCACACTCGAGGCCCCGGGAGACACTGAGGGCTTCACCAGGCCTGCACCTGCCCTCAGTCCTAGCAGCAGCCCCTCCTCCCTGCTGGGCAGAAGCCAGGGCCTCAGACTCTGGAGTCATCCCAGCATCTTTCCACAGGGCAGCTCTGCAGGGCTGGGGTGGGCACAGAGAGTGTCAGGAGCTGTCTGTATGTCTCCTGGTCCTAAGCAAGGGGCCAAGACCAGAAGAAAAGCTGCAGTTCTGGACGCTGAAGGCCCTTCTCACCCTGGAAAGCAACTGACCCCCCGCCAGCCGGCTGACAGAGCTCAGCCCCTGCTGGGCTTCGGGGCACGGAGCTGGGGCCCAGGCCTCAACCACTTGCAGCTAGATTCAACCACTTCCTCAGTCTGTAGCATGAAGAGTGACACACGCACACGCACACGCACACGCACACGCACTGGGAATGCGGGAAAGGTCAGGGGTGATTCTGAGGCTGAGGGTGGCCGGCAGCCCACCCAGAGGCCCTCAGAACATGGACGCAGGAGTGCTGAGCCCTTCTGGGAAGGGAGAACCAAAGGGCAGAGAGGAAATAAAGGACCACAGCTTCCCAAATCTACCTACGCTCATCCTTTTCTCAAGGCAACCAGAAGTTTCAGGTCAAGGTCCCACACCCTAAGAAGGAAGCAGGGCCCAGATGGTGGGGGTAAGGGAAGCACCAGCTAGTTGGTGGAGGCAGGGAATATCTCACCACAGGGCAGCTAAGGAGTCAGTGGGTGGGGAGGCGACGGAGATTTCTCTAGAAGTTTTCTGGGCACCCTTCCCTCACTACCCGACTGCCCTGCTCTCCAGAGACCAGGGTCCATCTCCAGGGGCTTGGGAGCGCAGATGAATTCTGGTGCCTGCCTTGATTTCCGTCAGCAGACTTGGCCCTCAGCCTCTGGAATGTTCTGTGACACTGATCTGGAGGGTCCCTTTCAGGAGGCTGGAGCTCTCCCTCCCCTGTGGGCTGTGGAACCATTTTGTATTATTCTAAGGTAGAGCAAGCCCTTCCCCAAGACAGAAGGTGTAAACCATCCTGACAGGAGGAATTCATAGGACCGCTGGGCAGCCTCTCTGAAGTGAGACCCAGAGAAATGTGTCCAGGTAGGGTCCAAGGGGGCACCCAAGGCAGGGTAGAGGCCAGGCCAGCATGGGGTAACTACAGAATGCCCACAGGTGAAGCTGGAACAGAGGAAGGGGGTCCAACTTCTCTGCTCCTGCTGGGGAAGTTAAGCCAGGGAGTGGTGGTGGGGGGGGGGGGGGTTTCCCAGAATTTGTTACAATTCCAGAAAGCATCAGATTCTTGGTTCTACCCAGAAAATTGGATCCTAAAACAGCTGAGAGGGTGGAGGGGGCCACAGAACTCTTTTTCTGAGGAGTGGTGAGCAAGTCACTGCTTTAGATAGAGAAGCTGGAGAGAAGGGAAGGCATCCCGGAAGGCGCAGTGGGCTTCCACGGCCTGGGCCTCAGGAAAGGCGCTCCTGCTGTCCTGAGCAGTAAGCCATGCGTGAGCGACAGATGCCGTCTTAGCCCACAGTCCCGGCAGGCGATCCAAGCAATTCGTAACTTTCCCTTCCTAAATTCTTCCAACTACGCGCCCCTCCTCACTCCCTCAGCTTGGGCTGGGGAGGGGAGAGGGACTGGCCCCAGCTCCTGGCTCTCCTGCAACCGCCTGATGAAATCCAGGGCCCCCTGGACGGCCAAGATCTCCCACCCAGTGCAGCGATGCTGAGGGATGGTCCAGAGAGCCCTCCGTGGAGAGCGGAGCAAAGCAAGGTCCGAGCGCCACCTCCGCTCAGGCCCACTCCTCCCGGCAAAGAGAAAAGACCCCACAAGGTCATTTCCAGGCACCCTCTCCGGAATTAGGGGGCAGCTCCGGAGGGCGAGTAAGAGCGTGGGAGCAGCACTACACTGCTTCCTTCACGCAGGCACCCTTCCGAGCACTTCACACACATCGACGTATTTAAAATCACTCTCGCGAAGGACACGGCCAGGGCCCGGAGGAGGCAGGAACGGAGCGCAGCTCAGCAGAAAGCAGCCTGGGCTTGTGCCTCGTGCAACAACCCGGCGCTCACCAGGCCCGTTCCCAGGGTTCTGGGAAGAAGTCAGCCTGAACTTGGCTTTCTCGCTGTGCCTCCCTCCAGTGGTGGAAAGCACAGGCTTTCAGAAGCCTGTGGGGGTGCCCGCCCGTGGGTGGCCATGAGGTCAGACGAGCACAGCTGAGCACCTGAACATTGCCTACACCCCTCACCCCGCCCCCCCCCCCCCCCCGCCTTCCAGAAGGAGCCCCCTAGCTAAGCAAGGCCTTCAGGACTGGCTCTGTGGAACAGAAGAAGCAGCAGCTGTCCATCAGGCCTCCCATGGCCCAGAGGGAGCGTCCCCCCAAGACTGGAAATGGAGGGGGCAGCTACTGGCAGACATGTTGGCAACTCTGGGCAGACCAGGAGGTGCCTGCGGTAAGGGTCCCAGAGAGGCAGACAGAGAAGCCCAGGGGTCTGGTCGCAGCTGGACCCCACCCTCACCCCAACCCCAACCCTTCCCACTGTCCACCACCCAGGCTGCCTGGAGGCACAGGGGCCTAGGCCCAAAGGCCCCCACCACAGGGACCTGGTATCCCGGGCACCACCTGCCTGCAGCTTGCAACTCCCACCTTTGGGCTCTGCTTGGCGACCTTGCGACTCCTGCACACGGATGGACCCAGCCAAGCCCGTCACCTCTAGCCAAGCCAGCCTACGGATCTCCTGGACTCCGTGGGGGCAGTTGTGCGAGACACCAAGGTTCAGAGGATGCTGATGGTGGGGACGCCTCTTGAGCAGGGGCGCAGGGGTGGGGGCTAGAAACTTTCCGGAGAAGAGGACCATCCCGGTGGCTCACTCCAAGGGAGACGAACACCGGCTTCCCGCGAAAATATGGTCCAGAGAAAGGGATCCCGGGGCTGTGGCCGCCCCACCCCAGCCGGCCCAGCGCTGCGCCCACGTGCCGGGCCGACCACCTCCCCCGGGCCGCAGCGGCGCGGGGCGACGGAGGTGGGGACCAGAGAGCCGGGCCCCCGCGGCGCTCCCGCCCTCCCCCCGGACCCCACGGGGGCCGGCCGCCGCGTACTCACCCTCGCGGGTGGAGCGGGGCGGGGCACGACACTTTCGCGCACAGCTCCGATCCGCTAGGCGCACGGGCTGGCGGCGCGGCGCTGGCGCGGCGGCTTCGCTCGGCCGGGTCCCTGTCCCGGGCGCGGGGCGGGCCTGGGAGCGGGGAAGTCCGCCTGCGGGGAGGCGGGGGCCCCGGCCGGGGCCCGGGCGGGGGGCGGGGAAGGGGCCGGACACGCTTGCGCACACGGCCGGGGAGCCGACTCCGGGGAGCGGGCGGGCAGGCGGAGGAAGGGCGGGGAGGCGGAGGAAGGGCTGGGGCGCTGCCGCGCGCGGGCGGGGCTCCTGCCCGCCGGCCTTGGACTGTGTAGGAGCCGCGGAGGCCCGGGGCCGGGAAGCCTGGGCGCCCGGGGCGGGCGCGGAGGGGCGGAAGGGGAGGCCGGATGGGGTGAGGGTAGAACCCGGGAGGGCGCTGCCTGTGAGTGGCGCCAAGATGGATGTGCCCAGCGCAGCCTCCGCACACTCTCCTGGGAACAATGAGACCCAACAAAGGATTCTTGGCTCTCCCACGTGGTGAACCGCGTCCGTCGCTCGCTCTGCAAAGTGAGGCACGGAAGGGGGAGGGCCTTGTTCCGGGAGCCCACCCCCCCATCCCCGCCCTGGGCCCCGGGGCCAGGTGCCCTAGACCTAGACCTGGGCCTTTCCTCTGCCCTCGTCTGCACCTGCAGCTCCGAGACTGCTCCCTCTGCCGCCCCTCTTTTGCACACCAGTTTTGGCCTTGAGAAAGCTTCTTGGTTTCTGTTCCTTACAGAAGGCGCCAGGCACACTGTCGCCAGGGGAAACCCCATCAGACTCCTGACCCTACTTCCTTGGGCTCAGACATCCCCATCAAGCCTGGAAACGGCGCAGGCCCAGAAACCTAGTCCAGAAGTTACCCCCAGGAAACCCACGGCCCCCCAGGCACTCTCTTTCATAGGTGGATGGTTATTCCATGGGTGAGCGGTTTACTGAGCCCCTGGTGGGTCGCCTAGTGGGAACAGCCTGGTGCTAGAGGCTCCCGCCACTCCCAGGAAAGTCTAAGACCTGGTCCCTGTCTCCCAGGAAGCTTAGGGTCCAGCCCCAGAGAGAATGATCACAATGGACTTCTGTTCAAGAAGAAGGCAAGACAGGAAGTGACTAAGTGTGAGGTGTGAGTAACCGACAGTAAGTGCAAAGGGGATTCAGAGACCTGCCAGCTTCAGGTTCACTTCAGAAGAAACTGGAGGGCTTGTTAGTTGAGAACAGGTAGCTCAGGAGGCTCTGCTGGAACAAAGTGGAGAAGGCTTAGGTGAACAGGGTGACCCTCCAAGTTCTTCCATAGGTGACCGTTTTGTTCTAACTCACACCTTGCGCAGATGGGTTCTTTCTGCATCCCACCCATGTTGAACTGAATGTTTGAATGGTGCCATTGGCTTGATCTGTCAAGCATTCCGCCGGAAAAGACTTAACTGCATTCAGCTCGAGGCCTAAACTAAGCTTAGCTGGGTAGAAAGAAGCCAGTGGCTCAACTCAGTGCCCCGAGCCAGTCACGGGGAAAAAGGGGATATTCCGCACCCCCACCCCCAGTTTCACGGTCAGGAAAACTGGCCCAAAGAGAGTCATCAGGTGCCCAAAGCACCAAGGTGAGTAGTTTGGCCAAGCTGAACCGAGACTCGTCCGGCTTCTAAACTTTGCTGACCCTTTGATGAGCTAGATCTAAACCCAGTCTGCGGTTCAGAAGGGCCAGCTCTCCCTCCTGCGGTCCTGATTCCCAAATCTACCTCTGTCACTGCATTGCTTGAGTTTTCTTACTAAAAAAAAAAAAGAAAAGAAAAGAAAAATCACTATATTTTGTCAAAAGGTATTGTTGGTATTAAACTAGGCAGTGGACAGGAACTTGCTCTGGAAGTTCAATGGCACTATGTAAGTGTGTGTTATGTGATGCAGGCGGCATCCCTTCTCTAGCTTATGGAAGTGGTCAGGTCTCCCCCGCCCCTCGCTGATCCCAGGTTACCCGGTGCCCAGAAGCTAACTGTAATTCTGGCTCCTCCCCTCAGGCCACAGTGTGCTTACTCATGATCTTTCCCCTTCGGGTTTCTTAATGGCACAACCAGATGCTTAGCTAGCTGCCTGGAAGCCATATCATCAGTGGGGCAGGGGAGAAGCAGTTCTGAGGCCTTTTGATCCTGGAGGGGTGGAGGAGGGATGGTCCTGGAGCCATCGGAGCACCATCCAGCTCCTTGCACCCTTACAGGACACAGCAAGAGGTCATATGATGAAACCAGCAGGGGTTTGACAACGCGGGACTGTTCTTCCCAGAAGCTAGCTGTGCCAAGGACAGACAGAACAAGACAACCTGACCAGCAGCACACTGGGTCCTGGTGCCGCTTGGAGCCATGCTGCTTCCGTTCCTTTTTCCTCCACCTCCCTTGACCTCTCTGGCTCTGTCTCCACGGTGGAGGAACTGGGGCAACCAGAGGGGCCACGGGAGCAGAGGGAAGGGGCAGAGGAGCGAGGGGCACCACGGAAGGGGCAGGTGCTTATCAGCCGGGGAAGCTGTGGCCCCCAGAGGCTCCTCCTTGGCAGGCGGTGGGTGTGAGTAGGAGGCCCAGAGCCGCTCGGCAAACGGGCGTCGCAGGCTTCTGGCTCCCGTCCCTCTCATGTGCCACGTTAACTTCCTGCCCACCAGGAGGAGGGAACAGCAAGATGCCGTGTGAGGAAGAAATAAACCCAGTCCAGCATCTCAGACGCTTTTAAAAATAGCAACTCTGGGAGGGTAGTTCAGCTCCTATTTTTATCAGATTTATATGGCCGGACCATAGAGCTGAGCTGTTCCCAGGGTTCTCAATAGCAGGCAGGGGACATCACTGTTGTGTTAGAAACCTGCCGGTAGGCCAGGGCATTCCAGGAACCTTTAGGCTGGACAAGATCCCAAGAAGTCCTTGCGTGCAGCCCTCGCCTCTGCTTGGGGCCAGTCAATTAACCACAGGTAGTTTATCTTTTTTGCCCAAAAGTCACTTGGTTGCTGTGCCCTCCACTGCGTTAATCTAGGATTTCACAGCCCTTCTCATCAGGAAGTTCTTTTAAATATCTAGCCCAAGTATCTCTGGTTACATCCTTTTTGGTCCTTCTCACAGTAGAAAAATCTAGCCCACGTTTACCCTGTGGCAACTACGTCTACAAAAGGCTCTTCTTTAATCCCCACAAAACCCCTCACAGGGAGCACTCTTACCATTGATAAATTGAGAGCAGTTATGGAATTGTCTATTGCCTGCGATCATACCTGGGGAAAGGTGCAGATGCTGTGCCAAAGCCATCAGACCATTTGCCTCCCAGACGTGCACCCTTAGCTCGGACTTTGACTTCATCACAGTCCCAAAGGACGAAGCGGCCCGTGTTCTCATTGTGGACTTGTACGTCATGCTAGAAGCTTGGCTCTAGATCCCAGCGTGCTGAGCCACAGTCCGCCTTGATCACCCAGCCTCTGCTTGTGCAGGCCATTTGGCTAGCAAATGTAGCCTGGAAATTTGCCTTCTCTTTCCATAAGGTCTCCCAGCCCCCTCTGCCTTTTTTGGAAGGCATTCACTGCTTTTGTCATTACTTTGTAATGACTACCTGGGTTCCTCACTAAATCATAAGCTCCATGTGAGCTCTATCTCCAGATTCTAACTTAAAAAAAAAAAATTCGGGGGGCACCTGGGTGGCTCAGTGGGTTAAGCCTCTGCTTTCAGCTCAGGTCATGATCTCAGGGTCCTGGGATGGAGCCCCACACCTAGCTCCCTGCTCAGCAGGAAGTCTGCTTCCCCCCCCCCCTGCCGCCCTGCCTGCCTCTCTGCCTACTTGTGACCTCTCTCTCTCTCTCTCTGTGTGTGTCAAATACATTTTAAAAATCATAAAAAAAATATTCGGGAAGATGTGCAAAACATGTGTACTGAATTGAAACACTTTAAATCAATTCAGTCCCTGCTTATTTTTTAAGTGGCTAAAACATGGTAACTTCAAGTGTGTGTAGATTTCAGAATCCAGTATCATCCACTAATAATAGCGCTAGAACAAACACAGGGTTGCCAACATTTATTTATTTTGCTGGGTGAGGATATTTTAAAAACAACCACCACCAATGACAACCATCTTCTTTAAAAAAGGACATTTTAAGATCATATATACATGCTTGGAATGAAGATTTTGGTCCTTTCTGAGAAGGAAGAGTTGGCCGATCTACATCAGTCTATTCAGAAAGAAAAGAGATACACGAAAGACGTTTTGGATATGGAAGCCTTACAAGAGAAACAATTTCAAGTGTTACTTTGTATGTAAATATTTCTTGATTTGTTTCTCCGTCTGGGACTCTGTGTTTAACAGAGACATGCAGAGTCGAGCTCACATGTCCCTGTTCCAAAATGTTATTTTTCTCCATTTCATGAAGGAATGTTGACAAATCCAGGACACTCAGCAATTTTGCTCTATGAGGAAACTTTTGGGCAAAATGAAAGGAGCCAAGGAACAATAGCAGTCATGCTTCCTTCCTTCTGCAGCCACGACGAGGAGATAGTAGGCCAAGTACGGAGGGGTGACGGCCAGTTGTGGACACGTCCAGGATTTTTCTGGGAAGGGTGACATCTCCCACTGCTCCAGCACAACAGGGACACAGGCACGCACAGGGAAGGCACGGAGTCAAATGCAGAAGGCCTTGGTGGCAGCACACAGGACATGTCATGCTGCCGGAGGGGGCTGGTGTTTGCTAGCTGCTGAAGGTAGGGTCGAGGGACACTGGATCTCACTCAGGAAGCTTTCTTGGGCGGCAGGATGTGTGGTTCTGCAAAGTGACATCAAGAGGAAAGCTAGGGCGTGGGGCGGGGGGGCGGGCCTGGGTGGTGCGGTCAGTTGAACGTCTGACTCTTGGTTTCTGCTCAGATCATGATCGCAGGGTCATGAGATTGAGCCCCGCGTTGGGCTCTGAGCTCAGCGAGGAGTGTACTTGGGCTTCTCTCCCGCTGTCTCTCTGCCCCTCCCGCTCCCTTTCTCACCTCTCTAAAATAAATAAATTAAAATCTTTAAAAAAAAAAAAAAAAAGGAAAGCTAGGACAGAGAGGGGATGGTTCTCACTCTGCATCCCCCTGGACTGAGAAGCAGGAGACCTGGGTTGAATGGAGTTTCTTTACTTGAGGGGAAAGCCTTCGTGGGGTGGCGGGGGGGGGTGACCCAGTTGCTGTGACCTGCTCCAGACCCACGGTGCCTGTGGTGGAGGGGGTGCACTTGGACCCCTGTGGTCCCTGGGAACAGACTCCCTAGAACTGGCAGGAAGTGGCATGCGGTCAGAAAGCTTGGGTCTTCGAGAAGAGGGCCTCTGGGAGTTCAGATGAGGGACTGACCCCTTGACTCGGCCCGTTTCTTGCTGTAGCCGGAGACACCAGGATTCAGGTAAGGTGGGGTTGCCGTGAAGACACGGTCTCACGTGGTGATGAGGGCAGGTCAGTGTATGTCAGACAGGGACTCAGCGGGATCAGTTTCATGGCTCACCACACTTCTGACCAGCCGTTTCCTGGAGGAGAAGCAAACACTCTAGTGGGCAGTGACACTGGCTACCGCAGGGGCCTTTGGGGGCAGGAGGTCAAATTCCTGAGGTCTTCTCTCCCTGAGCAGTCTGCAGCTTGCAGGGCTGTTCTCTGGGCCTTAGTGACTACAGCTTCAGGCGCCAGGGGAGAAGCGATCCTCTTCCCCTGGAAACAGAGTTTGTCCTCAAGGAGGAGCACCTCCCAGCATGGCAAAGGAGCAAAGCTCTTAGAACCTCTCTAGAACAGCTCTAACTACCGTCTCATCCAACGCTCCCCCAACCCACTGAGCTGCACTCAGGGAGTGTACAGGCTGGCGGGTCTTGATCTTCCTGTTCCCAGCGCCGCCTTGCAGTGCTGGTCCATCCAAGAGGTTTGCTAGAAACTTGACGGATGGGTGAGTAAACCTGAGAGGAAGGAGGAGCCTGACAGATCGACCTGGGGAGTCAAGTCTGGGGAGGCACCTTAGTGCCAGGGAGATGGAGACCCTCGGCCCCTGGGAGGTTCCCCAGCGGTCTTATTTTGGGGTCAGGGCTGGCCACCTGCCAGTCTTTTCCAAGCACGTACCGTGTGTGTGAAGCCAGCGGAGAGCCCCACCGGCAGAACCTGATCTTTCAAGAAAAGGTCGCTCCTGGGATTGGGTCCCTCCACTCTGTCTGCAAGGAGGGGCCTCTTGGGTCGGCATCCCCTCCACTCCTCTGCACCCCTCAATTATCTTTGCGACAGTTCTTGTACACGGACTAAACGAGCCGGGGTTCCCGACAAACTGGCCAGACGTTTTGCTGCTTCATCTCCTTCTGGGGAGGAAGGCAGCTGCCCCCCAGTGCCATCCCTCTCCCTGTAACTAGTCCCTTTGGCCTCACTGTCTTATTCCCCATGGGCTATCCTGCCAGACATGCAAGGGGTCAGCTACCCCGCCAAGCACTGTGATCCCACAAGTATGTTCCGTTGGTCTTCCTAGGGGACCTTGTACACCAGCCTGTCCCACATGCCTGTTTTCAGGGTAGCTTCCTGGGTGCTGCCTCTTTTTATTCCTACAGTTTGCTTGGCTGTCTGCCCCAGTAGCCTGGAGGGTAGGAGCTTCGGCTTCCCAACAGCTAAAGCACTGCCTAGCTCCAAAGTCGATCAGTAAGTCAAACCGTACCAGAAAGCAACACCAACACAGGACGCTTCACAGATCCTCATCCCTGTTCTTTCACAAGGGAACAGGCTCGGGACACCTGGGGTCTGGTCCAAGGCTATGGGGTGAATGTCAGCTCCAGGGGGAGACACGTCAATTTGTTCACCATTCAGCAGTCTCCAGGGCAGTGCCTGGCCTGCGATGTACGTTTGATAAGCCTTTGACTCTGAATTGTTGCCTGGTTCTCAGTCCAGGAATTGCAGAACACGGGCCATCCCTACCTTATGCTTCCTTCTTATCACTTAGCAGAACCGAACATCCTGAGAAGGCCTCCCGAGGAAGCACAATCCAGAGGGGCTGAGGGACTAACACGCCAAGGCCAGCCCCTCTCCGCAGTGCGATACCCACACGTCCCCCGTGCTGAAGTGAGTGCCTTATGTGTCCAACTGCATGCCCTCACTTGCGTGCCTATGACGTCACCCTTCCCAGATAGGCCCCCGCTGGCTCCCCAAGGCTACCAGCCTCGCTCTGGAATCCCTTCCTGGCCTGCAGATCCTTTGGCAGAGACCCGTGTCGCTGGTCACACCTCGAAGCCGAGCCCCTCGGAGATTGCATCCCCACCGCAACCCTATCATTTTGCCCTT